CACGTGCTACATCGCTGCCTGCTTGCCCTTTAATGTTATTTAAGCATGAACAATTTTTTTGTTTTTGTAATTTTTTCCAATTTTTATTGCATCAGTCGCTTTCAATTTGCCAGCTCAAAGGCTTTTCCCGTATTTTGATGAATCTTTTAATTTTTTACGCATATTTATGTTGTGATGCGTTATTATTTAATTTCGCTTTCGCTTTAGGTTTTGTTTTTTTGTTTTAGTTTCCGTTTGGTTTTAAACAGATCAAGGTTAAGTTATTACACATTTTTATAAACTCACATACAGATTCGTTTTAAATTTTTTTGCCTAAATTTTTTTACCTGCCTGAGTGGCAGTGACAGCGACAGCGATAGCGGCATCAACGTCATCAACAGCATTCCGACGAAAACTTTTCCGTCAAACAAAAATTCACTTTGTAATTACTCGATATTTACAAATACATAGATTCACATATGTAAGTATGTAGAGCACTTGTTGCTTTTGGCTCTCGTTCCAATGCCCTTCTTTCTTGAATCTGCCTTTAAAAGTTTCCACATGATAAGCTTACATATATGTACATATAAGTATGTACACTAGACCGTACCATCTTACAAGGAAACAAAAAAATGTTCGCCGTACACCTCCTGATTCTTGAAGTATTTTTACAAGACAATTTCGATATTTTTTTCGGCCGAACCTACTTGTTGCCTTTTAGCAAAAAAAAAAAAATATTTCTAAAATGGTTGCACTGGAATAATCAAAATACTTCCTTAGAAAAAGTTTAATGATTTTTGTTGAGCTTTAATTTGCTGTATTAGTGGGGTTCTTTAGGGTGGTAGGAACTGAGATCTGGTGGGTAAGTAGTAGAACGGGGTATTTGAGGTCAATGAACTCTAGACCAAAATAGAACATCGATATATCATACCATAAGCTCCGTCTGTAAATGCCGAAGTTCGGACGAAAAATTTACGTTCGCCCAAAAACATTTAAAATTTTCAAAATTGCCTTGCAAAAATACTCCAGAGGCGTAGGGCGAACTTTTTTTCCGGTAAGGTACAAAAAAAAACTATATAAAATTTATTACAATTTAAGATTTAGCTGGACCGATTTAAAAATACCTACTAAAATCTGGTTTTTTTTACTCCGTTGATAAACGTTTTTATGCAGACATCTTAAGCTTACCTATTATATTATTTGGGGCGATTTTTCGGAAAAAAAAAATTTTTGAAAACTTATTTTGTTTATAAAAACTCGATTTTTGGCCCGCCCACGTAAATATTAAATATAATAAATTTTATAATTTCGGTGGAAAAACCGTAATGTTTTTTAGTGAGACACCCTAATGTACATATGTATGCATATGTGTGCATATTATTTTTTTATTCCTCTGTTGCACTTTCAATCCTTGGCTTCCTCATTTCAACTTCTGACAGCTGTTGGCATCTGTATGACACATTTGTGTTGCCAATTCATGGCTCTCAGCTGTTGCTTGTGCTGTTGCTGTTACAGTTGCCCGTTTTATTGTCGTCTGGAATGTGGCACATACTCGGTGTCTGTATGCAACATAATTCGCATTTCAAGTTTTTGTTTATCGCTTTTACTTTCATATTTATGCATAGTGTTGTGCCTTTGGCTTTTGTAAACCACTTTTTTCATAGTTGTTGGATTCCTTTGCTTTTCAGTACAATTACCTTCTTAGATGGTTTTAAACTTTTGCATTTTTTCTTGGCATTGGATAACTGTGCTTTAAGTCATCTGTGCATACATCCACAGTTATTTAATTTTTGTGTTTAATGCAGTTGTGACGTTCTTACATAAATAGGGGAAGCTGACGATTTTGTTAGATGTTCGGCTAGGTTAGGAGGTCGTTCAATATCTTCTCGTGGATACATAGTTGTCCATAGGAGTGCCCTCTGAGTTCAAGCTCCGCTCCTTTTCTGTCGGTTCTAGAGAACGCTAAGCCGACAATCCCCGATTTCACTGATTTGGATCCTAATGGCTCTCGACGAGGTAAATGGGTTTTCCGGCTGTAATCGCGCTGTTTAGTCGAAGTCTAGCTGGCTTCCTTATAGAATAATTCTCAGCTTGAAGTACCCATTTCCTGTTTTGTCTGTGGCAACTGTATAGAACACCCATTCTTCTTTGCTTGGGGACCGTATCCTTCTATTGAAGTCCCAAACGGACGTAATGTATGTAGTCAGTGCTAGCTTCTAACACAGCTTTGATTCCATTAAGCCGGCCTCCCTTAGTTGGTTTATTTCCTTAGCCTAAGGGCACCATGAGCGAAAATGTGCAGCGGTCGCAGGTGAAAGGCCATCATAGATGCTGATTCCTTATACAAAGAGAGAGGGCTGCGCTCAGAAATATTCTGCAGGAATGATTTTGATAGGTTCGTGCTTTCGCAGCAATGATCCGTAACCCTGAATTTAAAAGGGTCTTACTTATTCCATATCTGTCTTGTAACGCTATACGATCATGCGCAGCTCGTCGATGGTTCTATTTTCTGTGTGTCATGGCACATTTCTCGCAGAACCGCTTCTCGATAATTCATCCGCTGTCTTATTCATGCACAGGGCAATTTCGAATTGATCAAAATTGGAGGTTAACTCTCTCCTGTAGTCATCCCCAAGTTTAGACCGAACCGTGGAAGAGGATTAGGCATACCTACATATGGACATACTTAGATATTTATGTACCTTACCGGCTTCTTAATTTTGAGCGTTTCCGTCTGGAAAAACACTTGCGTGCAACGGGTGACGAAAGGAAAGGTTTATTAGTGAACTGGATTGTGTTTTGGAAAAAGCTATCTCTCACATTTTAAGGGAAGTTTGCTTGCTGACCTTAGAAAGGAAAAAGAAATGCTTAAAACTGTTAAATTTATGATGACTACATATTTTATAGGCAATTTTCATTTTCATGATACATATTGCAGAATAAAGTGCTTTGGGAAAATAACTATCTACTCATATACTATACAAACTGCTATAAAACTGTAAACTCAAAAAAATTATAACACTTCTTAGAAAAAAGTTTGAAACTCGGATGACAATTTTTTGAACTTTTTTTAGTTTTCTACAATGTTTAAAACTTGGGTTGTTTGTAAGGGTTTTGTTAGACATTGAACTTTATATCAATTGGAAATTTAAAAAAAAGCGCAAGTGGCTTACAATATTACATTGACTTGGGACTGCTAATTATATCACCGGTGCTGTATGCACATATACATACATGAAAAGATCAAAATTTTTTTCTTTATATAATTCCAAAAAAACTTGTTCTAAAAAGTTATACGAAACACGCAATAATATATTTAAATATTTTTTTTTCATTAATCTCTTTACATAAAAACATTTTTACCTAAACTTTCTAAAAAGAATGTTTATAACTACAACAACAACACAGTCTGTGTTTGGTTTATTTTCAGACCTTTCAAACCTTAATTTAGTTAAGAAAAAATCGATAAATCTTTTTCGGCGAGAAACATGGACTTTAGATTTTTTTTAATTGTTAAATTTTAGCTACTTCTATTTTGGACTTTAAATAAAACTAAATGGGCTATAAAACTAAAAATATTGATAGAAAAGTTATTTATATGAAAAAATTCTAAAAAACATTTTATATTTTAAATTGTTTTTAAAACATTAATACATTTATGTCAATGTTATTGTGGCTTGTTAACATTTTATTTTTAATATTTTTATTGAGCTTTGTACCACGATTGTTTATTAGGAAAAATTGAAAAAGCAACAAAGTCTAAGCGGTAGAAGTTATAGCACTATTTCGGAGATCACCACATCTCCTCATCAGACTTTTTTTTTCCTTTTTTTTTCCTGCTGAAGTCTAGGAAAAAAAGAAGTCTGATGAGGAGATGTGGTGATCTCCGAAATAGTGCTATAACTTCTACCGCTTAGACTTTGTTGCTTTTTCAATTTTTCCTAATAAACAATCGTGGTACAAAGCTCAATAAAAATATTAAAAATTAATACATTTAAGTAATTTTTTCTTCGCCGTTTTTACGTTAAACAATTTTTTACGAAAATGTTCTAAAAAAGTGTTTATAGCAGTGCGTGTATGTATACGCGAATACGACGCGAACGCGTCCCCGGGGCTGTTATAGAACAACGCAAACTGTGTTTGATTCATTTTCAGGCCTTAACTTAGTTAAAAAAAAAAATCTACAACTTTTTTTTTAGCCAGCAAACCAGACGTTAAATTTTTTTTAAATTGTTGAAAGTCAACCACAATTTTGTGCTACTTTAAATATGCATTTTAATTAAAATTATATGGGCTATAAATCTGCATACTTCAAATTTGCCTTAACAATTTTACTAAAAAATTTGAATTTTTTTAAATTTTGTACAAGGTTTGAAACTTGATTTTATATAGCTTTTGTTATACATAGTATGAAGTATATTTGAAAAAAAATATTTTCTATTAGTTTACAAAATTTTACCTCATTTCAAAAAACTAGTGGTAGGTTATATGTGACCGCCACATTAATAATTTGTAAACGCAAGTTCTTAAATTTTGCTAAAATACATATATCTTTCTAAAAAAATTCAAAACTTTTCTAAAAAAAATGCATACAACTACGCAGGCTAAGTTGGGTTTATTTTCCGGCAGACCTTTAGAGTTTTATTCAAGCAAAAAGAAAAGTCGATAAATTTTTTTGGCCAGAAAACAAGACTTGAAACGGTTATGGTTTAAAAGATACGGCCTCTAAAAAATGCTCGAATTTTCATCAAAATTGTTTCAAATTCTTTACTCCGTGTAACACTTCTTTTTGTGTGTCTACTCATTTAAAAATGTTTGCATATATGTATGTATAAGTTACTTAATCGATCAATCGATAATTGTAATTGTGTAGCCTGCAAATAACCTGACATTAGTCCCATGGGTGTTATTTAGCTCGTGAAAATATGGCAAATTGGACCCTCTAGACGAGCACTTAACGTATATGGGTGTGTAAAAAGTAATATAACCTTCCTAACAACCTACATATATTCGTAATCTAGCGAATTCAATATACGCATACAAGAGTAATGCATACAACAACAAATACGAGAGCAAACAACTGTCATTAAAACAAAAAAATACTTAATTGCAACATTAAACAGAAACCATATTACAAGTGTACAGTTGCGAATAATACAATGAATACATATACATACATATGTATGAATGTAAACAAAAAATAATTTTTAAAATTCATATAGTAAATCAAGTGCAAGCAACAACAAAAGTTACACACACTACAACAAACTACATAGTGCAAGCAACAACTAATTGTTAACAAAAATAATATGACTTGTCTCTCAGACATTGATCTGGCCACTTTGCATAAAAGTCGCCTCGAGGAACGTCTCAACTACAAGTTAGCCTGGGGTGGCGCTACAACAAATCGGCTTACAGCCTACCACCAACACTCACATCATCATCAACAACAACTTCCGCCTGCTCAATATCTGCCGCACTACAGTCAGCAACAGTCACAGCACGCCACCGCCGCCGCCGGCACAAATCGCTCACGAAACGGTGCAAAGAAGCAACAAAATTTACAACAGCAACAATCGTCAAATCATCAACAACAACAGCAGCAACAATTACACACTGGAGGCGGCGGCGGCGGCGGCAGCGCTGGTTTTAGTGATATGACACGCTTTTGCCTACAACGTAATATGCATAGTAAATATCTGGCTGACGTTGATGATTTGTTGAATGGCAACCACGACGACATTGAACTTGCCGACAAATTGCGCCATTTAAATTTGAGCCTCGGTGAATTTGAAAATGGCCACCGAAAAGTGCAACACAAGAGCCGCAAGTCGATCGCGGAAGGCCAAGTGGTTGATGATACAAATGGCAATTACTTTACGACGCAAACACGTCGTCGACGTTCGGGCACATGGCCGTAAGTGTTTTTTGGTTACTTTCTTTAAAAATTTATTTAATTGTATGAGACTTGTGATTAATGCGAATTGCATTAAAATTAAGATTTTTATTAGATACAGCAAATTTTAATTTTTAACTTCCAAAAGAAAAAAATTTGGTATATATGTACTAGATTTCACACCAAATAGGACAAGCGATTAAAAAAGGTTAATTGAGGAATTTAAATAACGTGGTCTAATATACATATATACTAGTGAACCTGCATGGCGTTAAAACGCCCAAAATTTGTTTTCAAAAACTTAAAAAATATTCCAAATGTTATTTAGAGTTATGAGATATCCGAGTGCCATATTTCATCAAAACCGTACAGCCGTTTCTGAGTGAAGAGCAGTCTCCCATAGTGCATGTTTTTATTTTCATCGAATCAACATTCAAGTCAACCTATACCAGTATACCAAAAGTATTCTCAAACTAAAATTTTCTTATTTCTCTTTAGTTTGACATTGTGATACTGATATAAGATCTTCCAATGTTTGATATCCCAATAAAATACTAAGAAAATCTACCTACATTTTTATGACAAAAAAATGCTGCTTATAATTTCGCAATTCCTTATTTATTTTTTCTCCAAATGAATTGGTAATTTTTCACACAATCTTAATTCTTCCTCTCTTTTTCTGTTATCTGATATTTTACTACCTTTTTAACCCTTAAGAACTATTGTTGGTCTCTCAGACCACGACAGATTTTTTTTATTAAGATGAATATTACCTATCAAATAATATCTGTCAGGGAATCTGGCAGAAATTTCAAGCAGTACTAATATTTGTAATAGCTGCTGTAACTTAAAACAAAATTTATTTTAAATTTTTAACATAGCTTTTATTTAGTTTTTACAGCGAACAAGAAATCAACGTTGAAAAAACGCGAAAGATTCCTTACTAAAAACATTCCCTAGTTTCTATTCATTATGAAAATTGCGAAATTTTTTATTTACTTTTGCTAATTTGAAGTAGTTTTACTTAAAACAGTACGAGTAGACGTGAGAAAATTATACATACTTATAATTTTATCACGTTTATCGGCAGTTTATTACTTTTTAAACATATAAACTACTTTTTTGGCTTTTTTGTTTCTGTGCTTAACATGTGGGTTGCTGGTACATATACTAATAAAATTTAAATTTAATTAACCTAAATAAAAAAAGTTCGAAGGTTTTAATTTTTTTGTAAAGTCAAAAAGTAATAATTTCACTAAAACCCCGTTTTTCGGTGACACGATCTACATACACATGTTTTTTTTTTTGTACTTAACAATAAAGTTTGACCACCATCAGCAGTTGTTTGTATTTTTAAGCACAGTATTTAAGGGTTAAAATTAAATTTTTTTATCAGTTCACTTAGTGTTCAATTTAATATTTGGTAATTTCACAACTGTTAACATTAACAAAATTATCTCTAAATTCTGCAGTGAGATAGCAAATTTGTCTGTCCATGGCTATGCCTTGATGAATTTCACCATGAGGTACATTACATTTATAAATATCTATGTNTTTTTTTTTTGTACTTAACAATAAAGTTTGACCACCATCAGCAGTTGTTTGTATTTTTAAGCACAGTATTTAAGGGTTAAAATTAAATTTTTTTATCAGTTCACTTAGTGTTCAATTTAATATTTGGTAATTTCACAACTGTTAACATTAACAAAATTATCTCTAAATTCTGCAGTGAGATAGCAAATTTGTCTGTCCATGGCTATGCCTTGATGAATTTCACCATGAGGTACATTACATTTATAAATATCTATGTACATACATATGTACGTATGTACTTATCACCAATAAAGTGTATGGACGTTGGTGTACGTTCCGATAAGCAGGCTGATAAGTATCTATGTAGAAATGTAAAACAATTATTTTAAATATTTTTTAAATATTTTTTATCACTTCGCCTTCTAAGATGTGCCTAATTTCAAATTTTATTTGTGCTAACATGTAAATATACATAAAATTTGTCGATAAGCATGAGTTTCCAACAAATGATAATAATGATCAATAAAAATAATGACAAGCTAGCCGTACTCAACGTGACTATGCGAATAAATCGTTCGTATTTCTGCGATATTCTCTAACGATGCGGTAAATGATACAGTGGTGGCGCCCAGTTTTGATCCTCATTGTTGACAGTTTTCCTTTAATTCAATATTCATAATTTTTTTATAAAAATAAAGCATATTCTTTAACAAAAACCATGTGAATCCGATTTTCGAGCTTTTGCACAAACTTTAATAATTAAAAAAAAAAAATGTTCATCAAAGTTTCAAACTGTTTTGATATATATATTTTTTTTTGTTGAAGATGTCACGCATTTTCTTCCATACAAAGCATGTTTGCCCATTTTTTTCTCGGCTAAAAAAGTTCTAGATTTTTTACAATCGTAAAACTTTCACCTTAATACCCTAAGCAGTTTCTAGTTGGGAATTGTGATGAAAATTTGCTGAATTATTATAAATTTTGTATAAACCTTTAATATCGGATTTGCATGTGTTTTGTTATAGAATATGCTATATTAAAAAAAAAAAAAATGCGTCAATATTAAACAAACATAAAGTAAACTATGTAACTAAATATCAAAAAGTGCGCCATTGTGGCCGTCACTGTATTTACCTCGAAATTCTGAGGATTAACGAAATTACAAGACAAAAAAACTAAAACCGCAACTAACGTCACATCATAAAATAAGGTGGTTCGTGAAAAAAATCCCCGTTTGTTATATTTAAATATTTATTTTCTAATCGTCTACCATTAAATATTTTCACTAGTCACGGTAGTTGCACTGAGTGCAGTCACCAATGTTTTACTGTAAATAGTGGCTAATTGTACTGGAGAAAAAAAAAATTGTAGAAATTAAAGAAAAAAAAAAATTATTAATAATAAAAAAAATTTCAATCTACTCCCCGACGGGGAATTGAACCCCGGTCTCCCGCGTGACAGGCGGGGATACTGACCACTATACTATCGAGGATCTTGCTGAGTGGTTGCTAAAATGCGCACTAGAGCAGTGAACTAAGAGAGAGAGAGAGAGACCAAAAGAGAGCGGCTGTAAAAGAGAATCTCATAACGTTTTTGCATGCTCTTTATTTAGCGTTTTTCTAAAAATAAAATTTCAAACTTGCTTGCACGCGCGCTATCGCGATCAAGCGCGCTCGCATTGATATTTTCGACATTTAGTACTACGCTTTTGGTACTTATTGGAGTTTATTATTATCATTGTTATTATTTTTAAGTTTGCCATTTTCTGCTCTTTATTCTCTTTTGTTGGACTTATGCGCATTGATTTTGTTTTATTTGTTTTTTTGAATTTGTGCTGAACCTACCTACATTTTTTGTTTTGTTTGTCTGCCTTTACGCCACCTTGCCTAATTTTGCATAATTTATTCTTAACCTCCAGCTTTAACTGTTTCACAATTTTTTGTGTTTTTTTTTATCTTTTTGTATTTCGGTCTTCACTAGCGCAAAAAATAACTAGCAGGCCACAATAAAGTATTTTTTTTTTGTAAATTTAAAAGCATGAAAGAGAAGCACAGAAAAAATTGTACCGAAAAATCGTACCAGCCAGCGATAAGCGCCACTTATATGAACTCAGCTATTTTTTCTATTTTTGATTAATAAACTTGTTTACTAATGAGATTCTTATTCCCCATGATTTCACTGGGAACCTTTTGAAGTTCTCCAAATAGAAGGATAAAAAAGATTTGTATGGTTTGCCAGATTAATGATTACGTAAATAATTTGTCTGGAATGTAAATTGATACGTCAATTAAAAGTTATGAATATAATTTTTTGTAAAGCTTCTAACACAAAAGTTACACGTTCAAGTTTTATCTTTCATCTTGAGTTCAAAGCTGTGAAGTAGTTTCCAAGCAATTTGATGGGCAATTTTGTATTCAAGATGCTGTCGTCATGGAAATAACTCAACCACACAAATAAACTATTACGAAATCTGTGAAAACTGCACGAAAGCTTTCTATATTTGATGTAATGTGGAACGATTTTCCGTCATCCCTTGTCAAATTTGGTTTTCTATACTTGTTCACGACTTTTTGGTATAACTTGGAGCCTCTTCCCAAAAACGACTTAGCGGTCATTCAACACTGCCAAGGGCAATGAAAACTTTCTCTGTTGATGCACTAAACGCCTTAGTTTAAATACCTACCTCCCTGTCCAATTTCAATAGAAAAGGAGACGATCATGGCGGCATTCAGAATTCTAAACACCTCCAACTTCAAAAGCGGAGTAATGACGTTTCACATGAAGGTCCTTACCAAAAAAAAAGTGTAACAACTTTTACTAACAAAATAACTATTTTTTTAAGTCTGCAGTTATTATTGTCAGTCAATAAAGTTTAGGTACATCGAATTTTTTGCAATACGGGCAACTATTTTTTAAATATTTTATTTTTCGCTAATGTTTTATAAAAATATGGTTAATGCTACAACAAAAACCCCGAACGAAATGTGACTGAAGTTGAGCATTTGAAAGCACATTTCCATGTCTGACTGCAGCTGAACGTGTAGAGATGCCTCTTTAGCTCCTACACTCGGCTTTTGATAGGCTAGGCTCCCCTGAACCGCTTTTACACGCTAAACATTTCGGTACCTAGTATTGAAATTATTGGATATCTTTTGATTCGGTACCAAGTATCGATCAATACTTAAAAGTATCGATTCAGCACATCACTATTCAATAGACAGTACTTAATATATTTTTTTAAGAGTAAAAATGGTTGATATTTAAAAATAAAGCTTCTTTGGGAGAATAAGTCAAGAAACCCAAATTCGCTAAGCAGCAAGCTTGCATAAAGCGGCACTAAGGAGAGGGCAATGAAAGGCCATCATTTAACAAACTCTTTGACCTACTGTGCAGTCTCAAGGTCTTTACGGCAGCTGCTTAGCAAGAAACTAATGGGAAACTTTTGATCCTAGACAAATACGCAGTATGATTTTTACCGGCGTAATCAT